AAGTCAAGCAGACTTTTGCCTCCAACCTGTATTGTATAAGTGTTTATGGGATGCAAATTCACAGTCCATGAACCTGGCTCGGGGACAGGAGATATCTTCACAACCTTCTGGCTGTCCATGTTGATCAACATGCTCATGGATGTCAACTGAGAACCTGCCACGAGTTGACACATAAATAGAAACAAGAGCAGATGTAAACGAAGTGAGAATGTGAGGAAAGTTCCCCCTCCCATTAATTGTCTGCAGCCAATCCTGTTATTCTGTTCTGTACGCCTGCTAGTGATTTATAACAGGGCTCCCCACCCCCTTGGTCTACGGCCCGCTACCAGGCTGCCGCCTATTCAGAACCAGGCCGTGGAAATGATGGGCGAGCGTGCGTGCACAGCTACACTTGTGGAAGCAGCGGACGAGCGCATGCACGTGAAGCTCCACTTGCGTAAGTCTATGCACCCGCCACTCATACGAAACCATCTCCTCCCCCCTACCACCAGTCTGCAAAGCCGGAAAGATTGGGGACAGCTGATTTATAAGGTTTTTAAAGCATTAATCAAGTTTGATAATAATAATAATAATGATAAAGTTGGAAGGGACCTTGGAGGTCATCTAGTCCAACCCTCTTGCTCAGGCAGGAAACCCTATACCATTTTGGACAAATGGCTGTCCAGTCTCTTCTTAAAAACTTCCAGTATTGGAGGATTCACCGCTTCTGGAGGCAGGGTGTTCCACTGGTTAATTGTTCTAAGTGTCAGGAAGTTTCTCCTTAGTTCTAGGTTGCTTCTCTCTTTGGTTAGTTTCCACCCGTTGCTTCTTGTCCTGCCTTCAGGCGCTTTGGAGAATAGCTTGACTCCCTCTTCTTTGTGGCAGCCCCTGAAATACTGGAACACTGCTGTCATGTCCCCCCTCGTCCTTCTCTTCATTAAACTAGACATACCCAATTCCAGCAACCGTTCCTTATATGTTTTAGCTTCCAGTCCCCTAATCATCTTTGTGGCTCTTCTCTGTACTCTTTCTAGAGTCACAACATCTTTTTTACATCGTGGTGACCAAAACTGGATGCAGTATTCCAAGTGTGGCCTTACCAAGGCCTTGTAAAGTGGTATTAATACTTCACGTGATCTTGATTCTATCCCTCTGTTAATGCAGCCTAGCACTGTGTTGGCTTTTTTGGCAGCTGCAGCAAACTGCTGGCTCATATTTAAGTGATTGTCCACTAGGACTCCGAGATCCCTCTCACAGTTACTACTATTGAGCAAGGTACCCCCTATACTATACCTGTACATTTGGTTTTTCTTGCCTAAATGTAGAACCTTGCTTTTTTCACCATTGAATTTCATTTTGTTAGATAGCGCCCAGCGTTCAAGTCTGTCCAGATCCTCCTGTATCCTAAGCCTGTCTTCTGCAGTGTTGGCTATTCCTGCCAGCTTGGTGTCGTCTGCAAATTTGATGAGTTCCCCATCTATCCCCTCGTCCAGATCGTTGATGAAGATGTTGAAGAGCACTGGGCCCAGAACAGAGCCCTGGGGCACCCCACTACACACTTCCCTCCATGTAGATGCGGTTCCATTGAGGACCACACGCTGAGTACAGCCGGTCCTCATAAAGCCTGTCCTCATTTCCTGATGATTGGATGCCTCTAGAAGAGTCTCTTCCCATTCGTGTTGGAGGCACCGTTCAAGGCACTTCCGGGTTGAAAGGATTAGCCAGTGACATCACTGAGGCCCGGGGGATGGCCATGGGGCCTTCTTTCATGTATCTGCAAGGAGCTGGAGCAAGTGATGGGAGCTCACTCCAACACGCAGCAGCACTCGGGTCTCGAACGCGGGCTTGTTAACTCCCAACTCAGTGTACTAACCCCGTGAGCCACTGTGCTTTGCCTAAAAGAGTCTTTCTCAACCTTGGCAACTTGAAGATGTGAGGCTTTCGATTCATGCTGGCTGGAGGTTTCTGGGAGTTAAGTCCACACACCTTCACATTGCCAAAGCTGAGAAGCACTGCTCCAGAAGATACCTATCGGTAGCTCCTGAGAAAATGCTCTATATCACATCACACCGCCCCTTACCTGAAGGTTGGAACACAGTCATGTTGAATGAACTTGGTGCTTTGACAGAGATGGTCAACTCTTTGAGGGTTTCATCTACAGGGAAGGAGAACTGTGAAGTATACATTCGGCCATCGATCAATTTAACAGGAGCAGCATTCAGGGACTTCTCCATTATTCCCAGGACCTGTGAAAGCTGATGTTTTGTAGTNCTTGTAACATTTATGGGGTTATTTACAAGATTTAATACCAGGCAATTTTCTATTTTTTTCTGCCTGAGAAAACATCAGAATATTTTCTTTATGCAGATTGACTTACCTCTGCGTTTCCTGCTGGAACAATAGCCTGTGAGGAGAATGTTCACTTTGGACTTAGTAGACTCAATCAGAATGTCCACTTCTCCCTTCAGATGCTCATCTTTTGCTCCAGCATCACTGAAGAAAAAGATCTCAGATCTGGAGGGACACAAAGGATTTTAGGAAGTTTGTGCTAGGGGAAAAGTAGCTTGAGTATAGGATTGGCAAGAAAGTAGCTTACTCTCAGTTGTTGCCTTATAGAACTGTGGACTTTAACTTTCAGAATTTTTAAACCAGTGACTGCTAAGTATTTTGGAAATATAGAAATCCTCCTATCTGAAAAGCATCCAGTTGGGGAACAGTGGGTGAAACTGATGGAAAAAGGGAGATGAATATGGATTGGCTGAATCACTTTTATAAGAAACTTTTAAGAAGAAACTGGACAGCCATTTGTCCGAAATGGTATAGGGTTTCCTGCCTGAGCAGGGGGTTGGACTAGATGACCTCCAAGGTCCCTTCCAACTTTATCATTATTATTATTATTTTTATTATTATTTTTTATTATTATTATTATTATTATTATTATTATTATTATTATTATTATTATTATTATTATTATTATTAACAAAAAATGGCTAGGAAAGGCACTGAAAGAATTCAGCCTTAAGCCCTGGAGAGCCTCAGATAGGTGAACTATAGATAAACTTTGACTTACAACTATTTAGCGAACATTTGATGTTATGAGAGACCCTCAAAAAGTACTTATGATCCAGATTCGAAGTTCTGATGGCCAGGCCCTTTGTGATCATGTGATCATATTTTAGTTGCTCAGCAACCAGCTCACATTTACGGCCGTTTGTAGTGTCCCACTGTCACATAACACAATTTATAGGGTTTTTTTTTTGCTGGAAATTGGCATTTGCTTCTGGTTTTTGGCAAAACCAGCCTATTGCAGACAACGGGTTTGCTTAATAACTGCGGGGTTCACTTAATGACTGTGTCTTTGCTTAATGATCGGGATGACCTGCCTAATGACCAGCACAATGGACAACTGTAATAAGGCTCAATTATGTTGTCAGTCAAGGACTACCTGTAATCTCAGAATCAGGCAGCTTTCAGGATTCACGAGCACTGGGAGCTAGCTGCAGAGATGAAAAATGATAAAACGGATATAAGGATGTTTTGATTCAACATCTCTACACTATTTATCTGTTCATTCTGATGTTGGCTTTAGTATGTCAGTCACAGACTTTGCATTGTGACACCACGACACACACATCCCATGGAAGTACAGGTAAGTCCTTGATTTATGACCACAGTTGAGCCCCAGGCAATTAAGTGAGTTTTGCTCATTATACAGCCTTTTTTTTGCCACAGTTGTTAAATAAATCACTGCAGTTGTTAAGTGAATTACACGGTTGTTAAGTGAATCCAGCTTCCTTCGTTGACTTTGCTTGTTGGAAACTGGGAAGGTTAAAAATGGTGATCACATGATCCCAGGACAGTACAACTGTCATAAATACATGCCAGTTGCCAAGTGGTTGAATTTTGATCATGTGATCACAGGGATGCTCCAATGGTCGTAAATGTGAAAACAGGTCATGTCACTTTTTCCATGCTGTTGTAACTTTGAACTGTCACTAAATAAATGGTTGTAACTCAAGGGCTACCTGTATGAAGCCTGTGAGATGGCTATATTGTTTGTAAGCTACTCTTCCCGATTTTATGGCTGTTTTAATAGTTTTAACTTGTTTTTAATGTTTTTTATTGTTGTTTTTGGCTATTTAGTTATATGGGTTTTATTGTTGTGTGATTTTTTTTCATCTCTGTGAACCGCCCAGAGTCACAGAATATGTGAGATGATTGGCTATATAAACTGAATAAACAAATAAATAAAAATAAGATTTATCACTTGCTTCCTCTCACACTTTTTGCAGATGCCTGCGCCTACATTCCTGGATTATATACTTGATACTTTAGAAATAAAAAAGGGAAGTAGACTCTGCCTTAATGTTCCATCTGTTTAAACTTTTTTTAAAAAAAATTTATTATCATTTTTTAATCCTATAAAAGCAGCGGTTTCCAACCTTTCTGGCATCAGGGACTGGTTTTGTGGAAGACAATTTTTCCACAGACTGGAGGGGGGATGCTTTCGTGCATAACCTAGATCTTGTGCATGCGCAGATGAAGCCTCCTTGCTTGCCTGCAGCTTGCACAGCCTGGTTCCTAACAGGCCACGGACTGGTCCCAGTCCATGGCCCAGGGGTTGTAGCCCCTACAGCCCGGAGGTTGGGGACTCCTGCTTCCAATTTAACAAAATTAAAAGAACAAGAAAAAAAAAGACTATTGGAAATAATAAAAAATAAAAGAAAAAAGAAAGAAAACATAGAATTATGATTTCCACCCATCTGTATATCAAGCAATTGTCATCTTATTCTTTGCCCTTCCTTGTTGACCCTTTTTAATCCTCAAATCCACACATTCTCAATTTAGTCTTTTATTCTTTCAGCAGAAAGACGATACAAGTCTCTTTTTAAAGTCTTTTTTCCTCCCCTGACCCACCTATTTAAAGTTGGACCCTGAGGCTATGGGTGGGAAATGTTGGCTAGAGAAAAGAAAAATACTTCATCAGCACATTATAGACTTCAGAGTGAGAAGACTGACAATTTTTGTGTGGGATCTGACAAATTTGTGTGGGGATAAGGTCAATGATAGTTTCAGGCCATAAAGATTGCCTGCTCCCTCCTAGAGTCAGAAAGATTAAGTGTTCAAACGCTAAAACTCTAGATAGAACATTAAGGCCTGTTCTACACCGTTAACCTCCTGTGAGAAACAATTTGCTTGTCTCATTATATCTGCAAAGACATTTCATTTATAAAGAGGCAGAAGAAAAAACAATGAGACAAATGATTTTAGGAAACAATTGTTTAAGGGTGTGACACTTAGTTTGCAGACTGAGAAGCTTTTTGGAGACCCTATTGTAAATTGTTTGGGCTCTCCAGATGATTACTCACACCCTAGAGTAGGGCTTGGGTTACTGCAACGCGCTCTACCCGCCTTTAAAGATACTTGGAAGCTGCTCCTGGTGCAGAAAATAACTGCATAAGATTGTGCTGCTTTTGTGAACTGCGCTGGATGCCAGTTAGTTCCCAGGTGCAATTCAAGGTGTGGTTCTTACCTATAAAGCCCTTTATGGTGTTAAGTGAATCTGGCTTCCCCATTGATTTTACCTGTCTCAAGGTTATAAAAGTTGTTCACATGACCCCAGGACATGTGTCAGTTGCCAAGCGACTGGTTTTGTTTACTGTTGCAAATAAAATTGGGTCCGGTTCTTATTCCAAGCTGGGAGAAAGATGCAAGAGAAATGAATTGGAGGCAGGCTGCAGTTGGAAAGGAGGTCTCCATTAATTTGGTAGCCAGAAACCATGGTGACAACAGCTTGTTTCTGGGGTGGCTGACCAATTGGCGTTGAGAGTAGATGGGCTTTTATATAGTTTTGGGGGCTTTGTAATTGAGATGTCTGTTCCTGTGCAAGAATATGTCTTTTAATATTTTAATGGCTGTTATACCAGATTCCTACGGGGTCATGTAGGGGTCATGACTGGCTCTACAGACAAAAGGGAAAATGCAAATCCTAGATGTTTTGTTTGTCTGAGCTAATCTTGTCAGTTTTGACTCCTTGCTGCTTATTCGGAGCCGTAGGCTACCCTTGGTTTATGAATAGAGTGGCCTGGCTTTATGAATGGATAAAAAATATCCATTCACAAAGCCTGGCCTCTTCAGGTTTCTGCTTGAGGCTGTTTTCCTATAGCAGAAATACTGGAGCTGCTTTCTGCCTTTATTAAAGAGATTTTTCTCCTCTTCTCCTTTAGGGGAAATATTCTATTCTGCCTCTTTTAATATCCTATAGACCATTGGTTCTCAACCTGTGGGTCGGGACCCCATTTGGGGTCGATCGACCATTTCACGGGGGTCACCAAGCAAGGCTGTCCGCCATTTTTTTTGTCTGCCATTTTTTTTGTCCGCCATTTTTTCCCCTTTTCCGGCGGGTGCCTTACCTCCCTTGGGCTGGGCCAGCTGGTGGTCGGCCTGCTCCGTCTCTACCGCTTGCCAGCTACACCTCAACCGGCACAGGGGGCGGAACCACACATGTGCGGCGCTCCCGGGCAGGGAAAGTCCTCGACTTACGACCGGTTGGGTAGTCCTTGACTTACGACTGGTTTAGTCGTCGACTTACGACCGGTTTAGTCCTCGACTTACGACCGGTTGGGGTCGCGGCATTAAAAAGGTTGAGAACCACTGCTATAGAATATTTTATTCTGGGCAGGGGGTTGTGGGGGGGGGGCTTCCCACATCACATAATCATGGGGATGCTGCAATGATTGTAAGTGTGAAAAATGATCATAAGCCACTTTTTTCAGTGCCGTTGTAACTTCGAACAGTCACTGAACAAATTGTTGTAATTCAAGGACTGTCTGAACAGTATTGAGAAATATGGGCAAAAAAGGGAATAGAGCAGTGATGGCGAACCTTTTAGAGACCGAGTGCCCAAACTGCAACCCAAAACCCACTTATGCATCGTCTGGTGCCGGGTGGGTGTGGCCCATTGGCTGGGTGTGGCCAATTGGGGGGTGTGGCCCATTGGGTGGGCGTGGCTGCGGTGGTAACGGCAGACTGGGTGGGACTAAAAAGTTCAATCAATCAATTCCAACTTTGCAAGTTCTTTTTTTTTCCCCGCGAGAAGTTGAAATTGACTGATTGATTGAAACTTTTTTTTTTGCACACAGCGGCGGAGGCCTAAAGCGAAAAGGTTTTATAAAACCCAACTGAAGGCCTAGGACTGGGGCGACGGCGCACGTGCCCACAGAGAGGGCTCTGAGTGCCGCCTCTGGCACCCGTGCCATAGGTTCGCCACCACTGGAATAGAGCCATCATCATCCTGGACACTTCTTACCTTGGCAAGCTCTGTTGCAAAGCCAGTTTCAAGCCAGACATGGACATTTCTGGGCAGTCACCACCTCCAGTAGCAGTCAGGCGAGAGATTGCAGATTCCAATTCGTCCACACTTTGGGTCTTAATGACGGGTCCAAAATCTGCAAAGATAGATCTAGGTGGGAACTGAGTCATGATAGTATGAAGAAGACCAGCCAAGGGCCACAGTTTCAGACAGAGTCTCTGTTTTTTTTTTATTATGTTAATTCTGTTTTTGCCTTTCCTGGGGTTCTGAAGAGATTTTTTCCAATACTTTCCTTTTAAGTAATTAAAGATGAACATTCTTATCTGTTCCTCAAAATAATAAGACTGGCATTTTATCTCCACATGTCAGATTATTTAGTTTATTCCGCAGTAACCAGTCTAATCGCTGAGAGTTTACCATAATATCAGTTCAGATGTATACAGTAATTCATTTAAGAGAAGTCCTCTTAAAGGTTTAATTAAAAGCTTCCTCCTTTGACTTCTGGGTCTATAATTGTTTTCTGCACAGGGGCGGCAAGAATCATTGAATTCATCAAATCATAGGGTTGGTAAGGATCTCAGAGGTCAACCAGTCTGACCCCTTTTCTTGGAATAGCACTTGCTAAAGCATTGTGGACAGATGGCTCTCTAGCCTTGGTTTGGACCTCAGTCAATGACTTTTTCATGTTCTAATGGGATTTTCTACAGCAATAATAACATTACAAAATGGCATTTGTACCAAATACAAACTAATATTTACAGCATATCTTCAGAAAGAAGGCAGGAGCTGAGGGATTAAAGGGCATTTCAAAATGACCATCTGAATAGGATACAATGACATGAGCATAGATCTGGAGGAAAACTCAGCTCATCAGAAAATGTGGTTTCCAGTCCTTCCACCATCTTGGTATTTGCATCCCTGTCGTTTTCAGATTGTGAACTAGACCCCAGTATTCCAAAATACAGGTAGTCCTCGACTTATGACCACAATTGAGCCCAAAATTTCCATTTCTAAGCAAGACAGTCGATAAGTCAGTTTTGCCGCATTTTATGACCTTTCTTGCCACAGTTGTTAAGTGAATCACTGCAGTGGTTTAATGAATCATGCGGTTGTTAAGTGAATCTGGCTTCCCCCTTGACTTTGCTTGTCAGAAGGTCAGAAAAGGCGAACACATGACCCAGGGACACTTGCAACCATCACAAATACATAGCAGTTGCCAAGCGGCTGAATTTTGATCACGTGACCATGGGGATGCTGCAACGGTTGTAAGTGCGAAAATTGCTTATAGGTGACTTTTTTTTCAGTGCCACCGTAACTTCAAATGGTCACTAAACGAATGGTTGTAAGTCAAGGACTACCTGTAGCTTGAAGTCAGTTTCAGTTCATTCTTACTATTGATTTATAAAACACCTGACCTTAACTAAAGATCTGCTGCGCTTTTTCTCTTTCAGTTACAAATACAAACATTCTCAAAAAGAGTAACTTTCAACGTCCCCATTTAAGGGAAAGATTCAAGTTTTTAATCATCCTCCCGATTATTTTCCTCAGTTTCCTCCTTCCTCTGCATTAAAGCGGTGACAAATAATCACACATCCCGAGAGTTTTGTGAGCTCTTGGTTCACTTTCCACGGGAAGGACAATCTGTCACTTTAGCCTGGTCATCCCAGCATAGATGTACCGGTAATTCCTCCTGTTTTTACTAAAAAAAAGAAAACAAAAACCAAAAACCCTGCATTCCCTATTGTTAAATCACGTAATCCCTTCTAACTGGCCATAACATTGCTTGAATTCTCTGAAGAAAAAGAAAAAACCTGAGCAAAAGAAGGAGGGCAATTCCAGCCTAAAAGGGAGAGAAATCAGAAGGAATCGCGGCCTTCTATCACCTCCTTACCGGGATCGTTGAAGGGCACAAGGATGTAATTATAAGGTCTGTCCGGAGAGCTGGAATACTTTTGGAGGAGTTCGTTGCATTTGATTTTGACTTGGCGGATGTCATCTGACATGCTGCCGGTCGTGTCCACCACAAAGGTGAGGGAATAACCATCCAGGTTGAAAAACTTCTTAAAAGTATCATCTCCCACTTTAGCTAAGAGGCCGATATCTGAACAAAGAACAGAACAAAACAGAGTTAACAGAGTTGGAAGAGACCTTGGAAGTCATCTACAGTAGTGACCAAAATTGTGGAAACCTCTTGGGAAAAGTGTATTTTTGAGGTTTGATGGCTAATAACACCACTTTTTTTGGGGGGGAGTAGTACCATAAAATTATATATCAATGGAAAGATAATTTAATCAAGAATATAATGCAATAAAGTTTGTTCAATGATCTGTACTGTATTTTATGAAAAGTTATAGCCAAATAACCAGAAAAAGGAAGCACAACTCGCTTAGGTTGATATCAGGTAGCTTTCCTTCATCTGATTGTAGCCAATGAGCACAAGTGTTTAGAGAGCCAATCAGGTGTCATCTTGTTTTGGCAATGAGCCAATCAGATCACAGTAGGATTCAGTTATTGACATCATGTATTGAAGTTGAGAGGAGGCCATTTGTCAGTGTGTTATGCGATGGCTATCAAGTTGGCTGGGTTTTTTTGTGTTCTTTCATTTAGTGAGCTTGTAAAACGTAATAAAATTAAAGTAATGGTGCAAAGAGTTGACTAGTTGCCCAAAAAGTGATGTAAAATGGTATTATTAAGTGAACAAGGCTACAGTTATAAAGAAATTAGAAGAAAAATTGGTGGAAATTTAACCAAAGGTGGCATTTCTACTGTACACTTTTCCCAAAAGCTTTCCACAATTTTGGCCACCACTGCAGTCCAGATTTCCCCAACATTTTTGGCTTTGCTGATGGCCAAGGTTGTGGAGGTGGGAGTGGAGAGGGTTCCATGTGAGTGGCGGGCAAACAGGCACGCGTTCGGCCGCTGTTTGCGCAAGTGGGGATATGCGTGCACGTTCCCCCCCTCCACTTTTGCAGTCCAATTCCGAACAGCTTAAGGGCCAGAGGTGGGCCACAGCCCAGGGGTTGGAGTCCTAGTCCAATCCCCTGCTATAGCAGGAGACCCTATACCATTTCAGACCAGTGTTTGTCCAACAGCAGGACTAAGTTATGTCTGTACTACAATATATCTTGTTTCAAATTGCTGTGAGTGGCAACACTTAATATTGCTTGATTTGGAAAGGAAAAGCCACAACTGCACAAATGCCAACTTTTCAAGCCCTGCAGTTACATGAGACAGATATTCTAGGTAGTCCTCAACTTATGGCCACAACCGAGCCCAAAGGTTCTATTGCTAAGTGAGACATTTGTTAAGTGAGTTTTGCCCCACTTTATGACCTTTATTGCCACAGTTGTCAAGTGAATCACTGCAGTTGTTAAGTGAGTCACCCGGTGAATCGGGCATCTCTGTTGATTTGGCTTGTCTCAGGGTGATCACATGACCCAGGGGCAGTGCAACCGTCATAAGTATGAGTCCATTGCTTAGCATCTGAATTTTGATCACATGACCACGGGGATGCTGTGATGGCCATCAGTGTGAAAAATGGCCGTAGGTCACTTTTTTCAGTGCTGTTTTAACTTTGAATGTAACTGTTGTAAATTGAGGACTACCTATACTAAAATTCTGTTGATTGAAAATCCAGAGAAGGGCTATCCAACACCTATAAATGGCACCAGGTTGAGGAAGTATGTCTAGCCTTTTTTAAGTTGGACAAAACAGTAGAGGAATGTCTATGTAAGGATTGGAGAAATTTTCTAGCACGCCATTCAAACTGAGATGGGTGGTTTACAAATGTGATAACTCAATAAAGATAAATAAATCTAGGACGCCGCCTTACCGTCTCCAACAAAAAAGTTCCTGGTGGCTTCGATGGCTAATTCTGCTGCTTTGTGATGCAGGCGGTAGTGTGGTGAAAGTTCGGGATTGGACGTCTCCTTGTTGATGCCACCAGTGGGAGGGAACAGTTGAGTCAAATCATTTTTCCCACCATGCCCACATTTGCCTATAATATAGAAAAAAGAAGGAAAAGGCACAAATGCCTTGGCTTATGTGATAACCTTTTACATTGGAGCATGGTAGCTCACATGCTTAGAATGCTGGTGTCAACGCTGCTAACATCGGATGTTCTTGCTTGACAATATATGAAGATGCAGACATTTTCTATTTAAGCTGTGTATCACTTTTAGAGTTAGAATTAGACGGTGCTGGAGGGGAGGGGGAAGAATGTGCATGGGGACTAGTTAGCCATAACAATATCTCAGTAGAATATTCTTCAAGGTTGGTTGTAATAGGAGGAGATAAGAAATGGCACTTCAAACTAATTGGAGAATGTGATTAATGACTGTTAAATGGAGGAGTGAATTATGCTTAGATACTGTCTGTTTGGGGGAGGAGAATTCAGATTTTTGGCTTCTCTTATGTACGTGCTGAAGCTATGTTGCAATGAAAGATTCTTTAAACAATGCCTCAAAGTTCTTTGAAGAGCTTTTTTCCCCCGGAACCATGACAGCTGGATTGGAAGTTAGCATTTATAGGGTTGCCAGGTGTCCACTATTTGAGTGGACAGTCCACTTTTTTCACATTATGTTCACTATTTTTTTTCACAAAATAGTGGACATTTTTTTTTATTCAAAAGCTTTATGATGAAATGGTACGTAATCTAAAGCTGTACAGTCTACTTTTTTTACTACTTAAACCCGCCCCCCCCGCTTGTCCGCTATTTTTTGGAAGCAGACCTGGCAACCCTAGTTAGCAAATCGACATTCGAAATCTGAGAGCTGTTGCTTATTGGGCTGAGCTCCTGTCACTTGCTCCAGCTACTTGCGGGGACATAAAAGGAGCTCCGAAGGGTGTTTCCCAAGCAATGGTGATGTCACCAGATAATCCTTTCAACCCGGAAGCTCCTTCAACAGTGTCTCCTACATGAACACAACGCAACCTTTATATTTTAATGTCATGTAGGGGCAGTACATGTGACAAGACACATCAACATTTTTCAGCATTTATCCACTTGAAGATGTGTGGACTTCAATTCCCAAAATCCCCCAGCCAGCATGTGGGTGGAGAATTCTGGAGTTGAAGTCCACACATTTTCAAGTCACTGTGAAACAGGGAGATAGAGCTTTAGATTAGCACAGTGATGGCGAACCTTTTAGAGACTGAGTGCCCAAACTGCAACCCAAAACCCACTTATGTATCGTTGGGTGCCGGGCGGTCGTGGCCCATTGGGTGGGCGTGGCTTCAGTGGTAACGGCAGACTGGGTGGGACTAAAAAGGTCTTTCAATCAATTCCAACTTTGTGAGATCTTTTTTTTTCCCGCGAGAAGTTGCAATTGACTGATTGAACCTTTTTTTTTTTTTGCACACGGTGGCAGAGGCCTAAAGTGAAAAGGTTTTATAAAACCCAGCTGAAGGCCTAGGACTGGGGCGGCGGTGCGCGTGCCCACAGAGAGGGCTCTGAGTGCCGCCTCTGGCACCCGTGGCATAGGTTGCTAAGACGTTTCTTAAAAACTTAGTTCAAAATCATTTGAAAGGACTGCATTGCCAATTTATATTGCAGGTATTATTGGCTTGATCCAAGGGCTAGCTAAGCATGAAAAGTATCCGTTCCCTTCTGCTTGTTTGGAACACAGAAGACGAATGGATGAAAATATTTAGCAAGCGTAGGTGATTTTTACCTGGTGGTTTGTTCCTACAGGAATTTGAAACTTTATATCCACTTGTAAGCATGTCTTTCACCAGGAGGTTGTCCTCACACTGTAACTCGTTCCTGTTAAACAAAGACTTTGATAGGTGGGATTCATCAACTTAAATCTGACCTAAATCAGAAATCTATCCTGAACTGCATTTCATAAACATGCTGAAAATAAACAGAAATCGTTAATTTTACATGTGCAATGTAACTGAAATGTCCTGTGCCTATCACGGGAGCTGTGCAAATCTTTCAGAAGAGATGTGTCAGAGAAGTGCGTACGGGTAGTTCTCACATAATAATAATAATAATAATAATAATAATAATAATAATAATAATAATAATAATAATAATAATAATAATAATAAAGTTGGAAGAGACCTTGGAGGTCATCGAGTCCAACCCCCTGCTCAGGCAGGAAACCCTATACCATTTCGGACAAATGGCTGTCCAGTCTCTTCTTAAAAACTTCCAGTGTTGGAGCATTCACCGCTTCTGGAGGCAGGTTGTTCCATTGGTTAATTGTTCTAACTGTCAGGAAGTTTCTCCTTAGTTCTAAGTTGCTTCTCTCCTTGATCAGTTTCCACCCATTGCTTCTCATCCTGCCTTCAGGTGCCTTGGAGAATAGCTTGGCTCCCTCTTCTTTGTGGCAGCCCCTGAGATATTGGAACACTCCTATCATGTCCCCCCTCGTCCTTCTCTTCGTTAAACTAGACATACCCAATTCCAGCAACCGTTCCTTATATGTTTTAGCCTCCAATCCCCTAATCATCTTTGTTGCTCTTCTCTGTACTCTTTCTAGAGTCTCAGCATCTTTTTTACATCGTGGTGACCAAAACTGGATGCAGTATTCCAAGTGTGGCCTTACTAAGGCATTGTAAAGTGGTATTAACACTTCACGTGATCTTGATTCTATCCCTCTGTTAATGCAGCCCAGCACTGTGTTGGCTTTTTTGGCAGCTGCAGCACACTGCTGGCTCATATCTAAGTGATTGTCCACTAGGACTCTGAGATCCCTCTCACAGTTACTACTATTGAGCAAGGTACCCCCTATACTATACCTGTACATTTGGTTTTTCTTGCCTAAATGTAGAACCTTAACCTTAACCATGGAAATTGGGGCCGGCGACTCCATCACTAAGCAATGTGGTTGTAAATAGTGATGTCACATGACTGTGCTGACTTATGATGGTAGTTGTGGTCAGCCACAACTTATCATCCTTAGAAAAATAAAATCCGATGCGAGTTGCGGTGGCCTGTAGTCACGTGATCACCATTTGTGGCCTCCCGCTGGCTTCCCCATTGACTTTGCTTATCGGAAGCTGGCAAGGGAGGTTGCAAATGGTGATCATTTGACGGAGGGAAGCTGTGATGTCATTATGGTGAGCCAATGGTTAGGCACCCAAATCATGATCAGATGAGCATAGGGATGCTAAGAGAATGGCAGCTGTGAGGACTCCATCATTCTGAATGGCCATTCAACTAAAACTACCTGTACATAGTTCTCTCTTTGAACTGTTCAAGTAGCTGCCTTGCTTTCTCCTGCAGCTGCTTGCTAAGTTGTTGGTGGTGGCCATTTTCCTGTCGACAACCACATTTTTTCTGGAAAAAAAGATGTTGCTTTAATGATCTAAAGCACTCGTCATCAAGTGGTTGAGAAACATCACTTAAAAATAATTTGCACATTATAATAACCCTTAGGTTCTAACCGAAGTTAATAAGGACCAAGAGCAGATTTTTGTCTTTTTCTTCAAACCCTGTATGGGAAAGTGACTCCTGATGGCTTTAAAAATAAATCTATGCAGTTTTATTGGCAACGTGTTCGAAGTGGTTTGCCATAACTAGGGCCAGGAGAACTGGCTTCAGGCCTAAGGTCTCATAATCTCAAGTTTCTAGCTCAGTGGTTCTCAACCTTTTTAATGCCGTGACCCCAACCGGTTGTAAGTCGAGGACTAAACCGGTTGTAAGTCGAGGACTACCCAATCGGTCGTAAGTCGAGGACTTTCCCTGCCCGGGAGCGCCGCACATGCGTGGTTCTGCCCCCTGCACCGGCCGAGGCGTAGCTGGCAAGCGGCAGAGACGGAGCAGGCCGACCACCACCTGGCCCAGCCCAAGGGAGGTAAGGCACCCGCCGGAAAAGGGAAAAAAAATGGCGGACAAAAAAAATGGCGGACAAAAAAAATGGCGGACAGCCTTGCTTGGCGACCCCCATGAAATGGTCGATCGACCCCAAATGGGGTCCCGACCCACAGGTTGAGAGCCACTGTTCTAGCTCAATGTCTAGACCACACTGGCACTCTCTTGGAAAGTATTGGATAAAAAAAAAATTGGAGCTCAGATTCTCAGATATGGAGTCACTCACTGTCATACTAGCAGACATTAAGTTCAGTCAAAGTTTTCAATTTTAGTCTTTGAAAATAAACCTCTCTAAGTTGATCCGCACATACAACAAATTATAAGATCAAAGCAGTGGTGGGATTCAGCCAGTTCGCACCAGTTTGGCAGAACCGGTAGCTAAAATTTGCTGAGTTCGGAGGACCGGCTGAATGCACACTGCTCCCGGAAGTCTATTCTAGGCCTGGGAGGCCTGGATGAGGTCTCCCAGGCCTCGAACAGCCCACCGGAAGTGCATGGATGCCACTTCCGGAAGGCTGTTCTAGGCCTCCGAGGCCCAGGCCTGCATCCAATAAGAGAACCGTTTGTTCCGGTATTTGAATCCCACCACTGGATCAAAGTCTCATTTTAGACAAAGACTCTGGGTCTTCCTTTGAAAAAAAACAACAACTTGCATGTGAAAATGAGAATTTTGAAGAGAAAAATAAGTGAAGTCCCATTCCTTAAATGTAATGCTTTTCCATAGTCACAAAAAATTCGTAGGAAGACCCATTCAGGTAAGCAATACAGGTAATCCTCGACTTGCAGCCATTCCTTTAGTGACCGTTTAAAGTTATAATGGCACTGATAAGAGTGACCTATGATTGTTTTTCACGTTTATGACTGTTGCAGCATCCCCATGGCCAGGTGATCAAAATTCAGATGCATTGTAAACATGAAAAATGGTCACAAGTCGCTCTTATCAGTGCCGTTGTAACTCTGAATGGTCACTAAACGAATGTGGTAAGTCAAGGACTACCTGTAGTTCTTGTTTAGCAACTGGCTTGCTTAGCGACCATTTGCAATTAGGAAAGAGATGAAAAGCTAACTTTGTAACCAGTCTTTGCATTTGTGCAGGTCTGTAAAACAAATTAAAGCTGAAATAAGATCATAGGTGCAGTCTCTGTTTTGGTTAGCACAGTGTTTCTCAACCTTGACAATTTTAAGGTATGTGGACTTCAACTCCCAGAATTCCACAGCCAGCAATGCTGGCTGTGGAATTCTGGGAGTTGAAGTCCACATGCCTTAAAATTGTCAAGGTTGAGAAACACTGGTTAGCACCTGCTTTGTTTACAAACTGAGTTGCCTGTCCTAACTGTGGTCGCCAAACGTGGACAACTTCCACTTGATTTATATACAGATGAAGATCAACCTTTACAACCCATTGTATAAAATAAGCCTTTTTTTATTTAGATGAACCCATTTGTGCATTTACCTTGGTCCTTTTTCACAATTAGCACATGTCTTCTTAGAAGCTGGTGCAGTGGGAATGACTGGACTATTTGGATTTACTGAGGGAACATAAAAAGAAGAAAGAGTCTCTTTAGATGTAGCTGAACTTCTCTAAGATCTGAAATTCCTCCAATCCCACATTCAGAATTTTAAAGGTATTGTGAGGGTTCTCACCAAACAGTGCTGGTAGGGTGGCCATAAAACACACACAAAATTAGAAGGCAAACTGAGGAAGTTGACATTAATTGGGCCAAGAATAAGGCAGAAAGGAGCCTCAAAAGGCAGGTCACAAAATTACAACAAGGCCTTTATTTTCACAAAACTACTAATGAGGCTCAAAAGTGCACGCACGCACACACACACACACACACATCCAAGTGCAAGGCTCAGCTGGAGAAAACTGTTATTTTTTAGATTTTGTCAGTTTTGCAAGGCAGATCAGACTATGAGATTAATGCTACGAAGGTCAATGCTACTTTTACTGTAAAGCTACGGTAACTGAATTTTGAAAGTTTGAATGTGCTTTCCTTTCCCTCCCTGTGAACTAGGGAGGAGCTTGTCTGAGATGTTTACTCATATTACTCTCTTGGTCTAGGCTCAAGCCCCTCTTATCTGACCATTGCCTTGGTAGTGGCTCTTCCTTTTGTCCTTCAAGGTCATTCCCTCTGCCCTGTATAAATTTATATCCCCACCATTGTACAGCCTAAGGAGAAATCCATCACTCCTTCCTATTTTCTCCAGCACAGCAACTCTGTGAGGTGGGTTGGGCTCAAAGCCACCCAACTGGCTTCTGTGCCTAAGGGGGGATGAAAACTCGCCATCTCCTGCTTTCCAGTCTAGACTTTAACCAATAATAATAATAATAATAATAATAATAATAATAATAATAATAATAATAATAATAATAATAATAATAATAATAATAA